TGGTATCCGTAAATATGGTAATACCTAAGGATTGCAAATTAGGGAGTTATCTATTATACAGCCAAGAGATCAACATTCAGAAAAGATTCAAAGATTTTTTGTAATTTTTTTTTAAAACTCATATTGTTATTATAGTGTTTATTAACATGAATCTTTTATCCGTAATCTCAGTTTATATTACAGGTTTAAAAGAAGGACTGATCCCTCGAGGACTTAGAGTAGAAAAAAAACCAGCATATGGTTTAGACAATGAAATATTTTTGAAAAAATGGGACATGATATTGAAAACTGTTCCATTCAATTAATTAATTTAATTGCTGAACACTCTAAGGAAATAAAAGAGACCATTGAACAGGATTTGACAGATCTAGAGAGGAATAACTCTTTTGATAAAGAGGAAGCAGATTATAAGGAGAAAGAAAGCTCTATGTATAACAGAATAAATAATCTAGATGATAAAATAGCAGAAATGAAAAGTAAAAAATACAAAAGGGACAAAGAGGATAACAAGAGGAATACATTCTCAACTCTTAATAAGATCTCAAATAGGAAAAATAGGAAACCATATATATATTGTAACAGGACAAGTTACAAAAAATTTCCCCACCAGCATGACTCAACCAAAAGGAATAATTATCCAGAGAGGAAAAGCTCATATAGATCATCCTCATCAAGATCCTCCTATAAACTTAAAAGAAAAGAATTTTCACAAATAGGACAGGAATTTAATTCTAGAAGGGGGGGAGATCAGTCCATAAGTAGGAGCAATAAAGAAAAAATCATATGTACAAATGGTAGAGAATATTTCAACTCAGGAAACCCTAAAAAGAGATGAGAATGTCAGTTTTTTAGAGAGAGGGAGGAACCCAAGGGAAAAAAGGATAACCAACTATTTCCAACCAAGAAGGGAAGGATGGGAGCATCCAAACAGATTTTCCACCCTCGAATTAGAAACCCCAGTAAAGAGAATGCGAACAGAGGAAGGTGTAACAAACACAGAGAAAGGGGAGAGATCTTACCATCGCTAGAAACTGACAAGGGCATATTTAATATTTCAGGCAAGACTCTAACAGATATGGAAATTTCCATTCTGGAAAGAGGCATAAAATTTGCCCCAGATAGGGGTGTAAATTGATTTGATCTATTTATAAATCTCAAAAAATGTATCAGATCTTTAACCGTCAAAAGACATTTCCAAAAAATCCAGGGAGGAGATTCCTCCATGGAAAATTTAAATTAACGAAAATATGATAAATTTAAATGTAAATCAAAGTTCTACCCAGCATATGATAAAGGTCCTTTTTTGGACATATTCGAAAAATTAACTAGGGAGGAACTAGAAAAAATTGGGAGGCATAAATTTGTCCATCCAAATTTGACCAAAGAGGAAGAGCTTTGCTTAAAAAATCTAATGGAACGGCAAGGTATTGCAATCAAAGAAAGGCAGATAAGGGAGGGGGGATAGTAGTTCTGCTAAAGGAAAACTATTTGCTGGAGTCACAAAAGATTTTAGGTGACACTAATACATACAAAGTGTTACAAACCGATCCTACCAACAACTTCAACGTATTATTGAAACAACTCCTCATGAATGCTTTAGACAATAATATCATCACGCAACCCAATTTTGAATTTTTATATCAGAAACATCCATTGATACCTATTTTTTATTATTTGCCCGAATTACATAAATGTCTTTGCTCTCCACTAGGACGTCCCATTATTAGTCGGAAAAATTCTATTACTGCCAATTTATCAGCATTTGTAGATGGCTAAATCACATCTAAAGGATACAAAATCCACTTTACAAGAACTAGAGAATATTGAGTGGGAGGAGCAATATAGTTGGGCGACTCTGGATGTCACATCCCTATATACTGTAATCAGCCACACATTGGGTTTAGAGGCTATTATTTTTTTTCTAAATAGAGATAAAAACATGGAACCAGGTATAAGGGATTTTATTATATTTTCGTCAAGTTCATATTGGAGCATAATTATTTCTTTTTTGACAGTTATTTTTATTTGCAGACCACAGGCACTGCCATGGGAACCAAGTTCGCCCCCAGTTATGTCAACATTTACCTGAGGAGGTGGGAGGACCTCTTCGTGTGGATCATGACTGGAGGGAGAGCTTGGTCCTATGGCGGCGTTTTATAGATGATGTGCTGATCATCTGGAGTGGTTCATCTCAATTCTTTGATTCATTCGTTGAATATCTTAATTAGAACCCATTTAATTTAAAGTTTACCCCTGAATGGAACAAAAAAACTATAATTTTTTTGGATGTGACTTTATTTAATCAGGGCAAAATGATAAAATCAAAGTGTTTCTTCAAACAAACAGAAGGTAACAGTTACGTTCATCGCAAGAGTTGCCATCACCAACCTTGGCTTAGAGGTATTGTGAGAAGCCAATTCACCAGTGTGAGGCGTAACTGTTCCAATATTCAGGATTATGAGAAACAGGTAGAACATGTAAGGAAAAAACGACTTCAAAAAGGCTATAATAAGAACTCTATCGATAAGGAGATAAGATTAGCTAGGGAGAAAAATAGGAACACTCTACTTATGGACAAATGGGACCAGTCTGAAAATACTCAATTCCAAGGAGCCTTTGTAACAAAATATAATAAAGACCATTGGAAAGTTAATAGGGGTTTAGCCAAATATTGGTCTATACTCCTACAAGATCCAATCTTGGGCACAATTTTTTCCCACAAATCCGTTAATCATTTTTAAAAAGAATCAAAATTTGAAAAACCTTTTGGCACTGAGTTATATTAGGAACATAAGAACCATTAAACCAACAATAGATGCGAGTAATGCAAGCTTTAGGGGGTGCGGTAGTTGCAATGCGTGCTCCACGATGTGTTTGAAACCTACCAATTTCTTCAAAAGTACAACTACAGGAAAAGTGTTCCCCATTAAAACACATGTGGGCTGCCGCATGGACTATGTGGTTTACTTACTGCAGTGTCCGTGCGGCAGACAATATGTCGGACGCACCGAGAGAGCCCTGAAGGTTAGGTTTTTGGAACATGCTAACAATATTAGGAAAGGCTTGGAAAACCACTCAATCCCTTTACACTGTAACAGATGCCAAAATTTTGATCTTAATTGTTTTTCTTGTATAGGTATTGAAAGAGTCTATCCACATTGGAGAGGGGGGGACAAATTAAAATTATTATCACAAAGAGAAACCTTTTGGATTCACAAATTAAAAACATTGGAACCTCAGGGCCTTAATGTGGATATAGATTTGGCATGTTTTTTTATGATCTTTGGGGGAAATGTAACCCCTTGCCATTCATGAAGTCTTGTATTGTTGTGACAAGTTGTTTGATTTATATAGATTATAATGTGTCAATTTTTTGAGATGTATATTGAGAAGAATGCTAATAGTCTTTTTTCTTTATATAAAATTATTAATACAAATTGGTCTTACATGTGAAACATTTAGCTAATTCTGTTACCATCTAGAAACAAGTGCCGCACATTGACATTATTCAATGTGCATTTGTTTGAAGAATAAAGTTAGAAGATCGTGAGACGCACGGAAGTACCACTGAAACACATTCTGGAACGCAACCCGGAAGTGTTATGCCAGATCATATTTTGAACCGCAAGTCTCTAACAGGACATAGCTGAGAAGAAGATCGTTTTAATCGCTAAACACAAGGAGGAAATCAGGACTAGCCCTATTTAAGGGAGAACTTTAGAGGGAAGGGTAGGCTGTATTTTTCTGTATTGTCATGAATTTGTTTTTATTGTAATTATCAGTCCCTGAGGAAGTTTCTATATGTGGAGACGAAATGTGTAGGACTGGGAGTTTTTACTATTTTTATTTATTTTCATGAAATAAATTTCATTTATACCTACCCATCGAATTCCTGATTTCGTATACCCTGGAGGGACCTGTGGTTCCTGGAGAGTCCAGATTTATATACAAGGCGCTTTTACCATTTGGAGTCTGTGAGTGCATTAGTGTGGCAGGGGCACTGCTTTTCAATTTCTTTATAGTTTTGCACTATGTTCTGTTTATATCTTTTGCCATAGATTTCCAGCTGTATGCCTAATATTTTGTATCATATATTACAGGTTCATCTAAAAAAATTACAGTAAATAAAAGCTTGCTGAGTAATATAAGCCTGACATGATACCACACAATGTAACCACAAATTAGCACAGAAGGCAGTGTTTTATGAAATCAATTGTAGATACTTTATTAATGATTTAACTGTAAATAAACAGACACTACTTAATAAAACACTATATTATATAGAGTACCAAAATATGTAACATTCACTACACCAATAACAATTCAATGGTTGATATAGCTCCAGTGATAATAGGTAAAAAGAAAAGGGCAGCAATAATAGGATGACAGACTGCAAAAGATCTGAACCTTAAAGTGTTACTCCCAGTATCATAACAATTAATGGATATAATGACATGAGTACCCTGGCCTGGTTCCCAGTTTAGTAATGTTTTGCCTCTGTTGTCTGAGTCCCGCCAGGCTCCGAGGCTCCCTGGTGGTCAGTGAAGTGCTTTTATCGTTCACAGCTCTGCAGCTGTGGTGGTTGACATTCATAGGCTGAGAGTGTCAGCTGACTGCTCTTACTCAATGACTATCATTCTGTACTACGAAAGTTGCACAGAACAGACATTAGCCAGGATGGAATTCTAGTTCTGGGCTGGCTGATGACACCTCTATGATGCTGCCAGGAGTTGAGATACACCTCTGGGAGCAGAGTGGTTTCTCAAATCTAAACATGTGCAGTGTTTCAAAGTGATATGCTGCATTTACAGATTCCAGGCACCATGATCACTTCAAATCAGTGAAGTGGCCATGGTGCTTGGTGAACCTTTTAAACAAAATGTGCTGTATAATAAGCCTGTTCTTATGCTTTTATACTATCTCCTAAGAAAAAGCTTTCATTTTTAAATATATTTGTGGCATTATGGGTGAATAATCACATGTTCATATTAATCATAGGGTTAGTTTCGAGGTATTGCACACATATTATAAGCCTTCGGAGGGCTGGTAAACCCAAGTGCAGGGGTGATATCAAGCTCTTCACCAGGTGGAGCCTTAAACGTGAAGTTCTGCAGAAGTCGTGTAAAGAACAGGAATAATTCCATTTTTGCTAAATTCTCTCCAACACAACTTCTTCGACCTAGAAATAAAGAAAGTATATATGAATGTTCAAATGCATTGCTACTTTATATACTCCTTCGGTACAGTTTGTTTTCCAGCTGACTTAAAGGGACACTCCAGGCACCCAGACCACTTCTGCCCACTGGAGTGGTCTGGGTGCCAACTCCCACTACCCTTAACCCTGCAAGTGTAATTATTGCAGTTTTCATAAACTGCAATATTTACCTTGAAGGGATAAGTCCTCCTCTAGTGGCTGTCAAATAGAACGCAATTTGTCTACTAGACAGCCACTAGAGGACACTTCTTTGTTTATAGAACACGAAAAGTGTGCTATAACAACGCTGGACATCCTCACGCTATGTGAGGACCTGCAGCATCGCTGAAATCCCCATAGGAAAGCATTGAAAGCATTATTCAATGCTTTCCTATGGGGAGGTCCAATGCGCGTGCCTGGCATTGCCGCGTATGCGCATTCGGTCACCGCCGGCCGCGCTCAGTAGGTCTCCCCCGCCGGATGACGTCGGCGGGGGAGGAGCGTGGGCGGACCCTGACCTAGCGCCGAGGGACATCGGCGCTGGTACAGGTAAGTCACTGAAGGGGGCAACATGTAATCAGGGGTGGGAGGGAGAGGGGACCTGCAGTGCCAGGAAAACGGTTTGTTTTCCTGGCACTGGAGAGTCCCTTTAATGCAAGCTTTGAAAATTCTAAATGCTGAATGAGATTTGAAATACAATTGCATTTTAAGGAAGAAGTAAAAATAATATATTTCACGTGCATTATCGAAGTCAAATGATCATTATATAACAGTCATACAATGATATTAATGATCCATTATTTACAGCAGACTAGTGAGCCAATGTAAAAGTGCTCTGAGCAATTGCTGCCTCTTGAGGAAGTGACAGGACTGGTTTTCTGCTTGACAGCCAGGGGATGTAACAAGGTTAATTTATAAAAGTGCTGATTTCTATTGAAATCCGCACTTTTTGTAAAATGAAAGCTAAATTGCATTAGGGCTCTGGAATGTCCCTTTTAATCCCTTAATGCCGTTATGGTGTACCGTCCAGCATTTAGTGAGCTGAAACGCCGTTAGGGCGTCATAGTATGCCCCAATGATCGCTAGCTCCCCTGTACCTGCACACTCACCTACACCAGCGATCCGCGGCAATCACAGTCCAGGGGGACTGCCTCTCAAGACGGAGTTCCCCTGCTACCTTTACGGCCCTCCAGCGCCATGTGATCGCGATGGACATCGCAAATCACATGGCCACAAAGAATCCTATGAGACTGCCTGCATGGGGACTCAGATTATTTAATTCACTTATAATATATTAAAAAATATATGTAAAATAAAATTTTTAAAAAATTTAATTTCATAAGTGTATCTTGAAATATTATATATATATATATATATATATATATATATATATATATAGAGAGAGAGAGAGAGAGAGAGACATTGCTGAATTCAAATGTGTAATTTATTGCAGTAAAAACACAGTATTATGATATTAACTACTAAAATTCCATACAGAACTTGAAAAATAACAAAATATATTAATTTCTCAAAGTTTTTTTTTTCATTTTATTCATATAAAATTATGTTTCATATATTAATATTTGATATAAAATGAAAGCCCTGTTTCCCCTGAACAAAATTATATATAATCAGTGTGGGTGCACATAATATTAAAGAGTTGAATTATGGTTCAACAGACATATAGCGCAAATTCTAGGTTTTGTTTACATTTTGTTTTGATCACAACTTGTACAACTGACTCCGTCCTTAAGGGGTTAATCCAGGTGCAAGAGATGCTCATTATGATTGAGTTCCTTTGCAGAACCGTGTTGTGTTGGTTTTATAATTCCGATAAAGACTTACAAAAACACTTGTGAACCTAAGCGCTATATGTGTAGCTTCTATTTCTGCAGTAGATGCCTCATGGTTGTCAAATATAAATAGAGTGAACTCACCTGCAGAAAAAGGTATAAATGCTTCTCTTTTTACAAAGTTTCCTTCAGAGTCAAGGAAATGCTGAGGGTAAAACTCTTCTGGTTTGTCAAAGTGAGCCTTATCTTTCAGTACTGATGTTAGTAATGGTATAACGTGTGTACCCTTAAAACAATAACATAAATTAAAATTATACAAAACATATATATGTAATTATTTACAACATAGTTTCCTTGTCTGTAATTGTCATATTTGGTAATTGATTTTTAAAAGGTTTTTCTGTTTTGTGCCATCTATGTATACTAAAATAAAAATATATATTTAAACATTACTTTCCAGGACACTCAAATTACTCAGATTCTGGAGGGGGTTGTTTTGCAAACTGCTGGTTAGTGACGAGGTTAAGAATATCATACAATCTCAGGTGACTTGTACAGATTAAGTGAAATCTCTCCACTATTTCCACATCTCTCAAGGATTCCAACAAAACTCTCTTGGGTATGACTTTAGTGGTCCTCAGTGGTCTGTGTGGCTGGCGCTGTTTACCCTTTATTGATTTAAAGCAAAGAGTTACCTACAATTTTAACTCTTACAGACCCTGGAGAACATTTATTAGATGATTTGTATGTCACACATTAAGCACAACCTATTATAAAAATATAGCTTATTATGACAAATAACTAATATTATGTGATATGCATGACAATAACCAGTGAATATTTAGGTATAACAGTAGTTTAAAAATATGACAATAATTGCGGCAACAATAACCACAACAAATATACTTTCTAAATCACTTAAGGGTGATGAGATAGTTAGTCTACAGGAGTTACTTGCAAAAACTACAGATAATTCCTCTAGAATTTAATCAACAATTACTTCCATGGGTCCATAACAATAAGCATTATTGCAATGTTTTAGAAAACATTCAGTGTTCTGCTTTAGAATTCCTTTACACAGAATGTAACACAGAGGGTGCAGCTCAAAAAACAGATGAGAGAATTAACTCACTCACTGCTAGCCACAATTCTCACAGAGTAAACACTTATGCATTGCAGACAAAATATATAATGTTTCATCTCACTTCTTCTTTAGGAAAGTATATCAATTAAACTGTGAACAGTTCTCTCTCCCCACACTCTGATTCCTCTCCTGCAACTGTCATCAAAACAAAACACTAAGCCCTCAGCCCTCAGTACATACTATCCTAGTAACCTACTTTTCTACTCTACCCTCACCTTTGTGTCACTATACCCCACTCCCTCTAGGATGTAAGCTCATTGAGCAGGGCCCTTAATCCCTCTGTTCCTGTGTGTCCAACTCATCTGGTTACAAATAACCCATTGTACAGCACTGCAGAATTTGTTGGCGCTTTATATACAATAATAATATTCTCACAAATAGTCCTTAAATATTTTCTTCCATCCAGTAACCAAGAGAGCAATATCCTAATTTTTAATTGTTTTGCTGCAGATATTTAAAATTTCTGATTAAATGTTAACTTATCCCAGATATGTCAATATCTCTGGATAATAGCTTGATATGCTAAACTTTGCACTTTACCAGCTATTTTATATATAATTATTGGTTCCCAGCTGCAGTCTCATGCTTTAGATTATATATATAATTCCTTCAGCTAAACATGAAAAGTTTGGAATCTGATCAGCATTATTCAGGTATATTTCTGCTTTTAGTAAAAAAAGTTATTAAATTAAACCAGCATATTTACCAATTTGTAGTAGAATATTATTTAGTATTTTGGAGATATAAGCCAATGAATGGTGAATGCAAATAAGAATGTTTAGAGATAGAGAATTTTGTAGGAATATAGAATAGTTTTGTAAAAGTCCATAGTTGTCTGGCTAACAAAGAAATTCGAAGTCCCAGCTCAGTTGGAAAGTGTAGAGTCATATTAATTTGTCTAGTTGAATGATGATCTTATTATCTCCTCCCAATTATCTGAATCTTGAATTATACTAAAAGTGTTGTGTTCTAACTTTTTAAATAATTATGTTATCTTTACTTTGCTATGTGGTCTTTTTGAAGTGACCTATGGGATTAGGTGGGTGTACCTTATTCTAACAATTGTCTTTCTAGACATTGATCAGTAGATTGCTTCATTGCATCACAATAATTTTTATTACTAATTCCAATTACTGTGTCTGTCAGCGTAGTGTCCAGAGCATGGAGGAGCTACCAGGAGACAGGCCAGTACATCAGGAGACGTGGAGGAGACCGTAGGAGGGCAACAACCCAGCAGCAGGACCGCTACCTTCGCTTTTGTGCAAGGAGGAACAGGTGGAGCACTGCCAGAGCCCTGCAAAATGACCTCCAGTAGGCCATAAATGTGCATGTGTCTGCTCAAACGGTCAGAAACAGACTCCATGAGGGTGGTAAGAGGACCAGACGTCCACAGGTGGGGTATGTGCTTACAGCCCAACACTATGCAGGACGTTTGGCATTTGCCAGAGAGCACCAAGATTGGCAAATTCGCCACTGGCACCCTGTGCTCTTCACAGATGAAAGCAGGTTCACACTGAGCACATGTGACAGAGTTTGGAGACGCCGTGGAGAACATTCTGCTGCCTGCAACATCCTCAGCATGACCGGTATGGCAGTGGGTCAGTAATAGTGTGGGGTGGCATTTTTTGGGGGGGCCACACAGCCCTCCATGTGCTCACCAGAGGTAACCTGACTGCCATTAGGTACCGAGATAAGATCCTCAGACCCCTTGTGAGACCATATGCTGATGTGGTTGGCCCTGGGTTCCTCCTAATGCAAGACAATGCTAGACCTCATGTGGCTGGAGTGTGTCAGCAGTTCCTGCAAGACGAAGGCATTGATGCTATGGACTGGTCTGCCCATTCCCCAGACCTGAATCCAATTGAGCACATCTGGGACATCATGTCTCTTTCCATCCACCAACGTCACGTTGCACCACGGACTGTCCAAGAGTTGGCAGATGCTTTAGTCCAGGTCTGGGAAGAGAGCCCTCAGGAGATCATCTGCCACCTCATCAGGAGCATGCACAGGCATTGTAGGGAGGTCATACAGGCACATGGAGGCCACACACACTACTGAGCCTCATTTTGACTTGTTTTAAGGACATTACATCAAAGTTGGATCAGCCTGTAGTGTGTTTTTCCACTTTAATTTTGAGTGTGACTCCAAATCCAGACCTCCATGGGTTGAAAAATTTGATTTCCATTTTTTAATTTTTGTGTGATTATGTAAAGAACAAAGTATTTCAGAAGAATATTTAATTCATTCAGATCTAGGATGTGTTATTTTTGTGTTCCCTTTATTTTTTATATATGTGTGTGGGCTTGACATTTTCAAACCCCCCTTAAAATACTTTGGTTTCTATGTGTAAGAGGTGTCTTATCTCAAATCATTGTTACCATTAGCCACATTCCAATCATTTTGGCCAGGCAGTAAATGGAGTAAGAAAGTGAAAAATGTGTGTTTTTTTACACTTTTTGTTACATAATGGAGTCACATCTGCTAAGCAGTGGCTTACTGTATAATTAAATTTCAATCTTATCACAAAATGTCTGACAGGCTTGAGCTTTTTCTTAAGACTTTTTTCATACAGTCTAGTGGGAGTTAGGGGACTGCTGCTCTCCCGGTCTTCCCCGCCCCCTCATCTCCCTTTTTCCTGCATGGCTTGCTTAGTGTGTGAGCTGGTAGTAAGTAGTTACAAGCTGCTACTTCCTCCCAGCTCTGGCTGCACTAACACAGGCACATGTGTACGGGGTGGCCCTAAGTGCATGGGCCACCCAATAGTCTCAGCGTACCCCCTGGGAATCTGAATTGTACACCCAGGGGTAGGCGTACCAAGGGTTCGGAACCCCTGTGTTAGATACTAACGGATTGGCTGAGGGAGGTGTGTACAGCAGAAGTAATGCTATAAAGTTAAAAGCCGTGTGAAAAACACATTCTCTCTTTTTGAATTTCCTCTCCTGATGCTCTCTCTCACTTTTGTATTCCCTCTCCCCATTATACACAGCCCTGCTCTCTTACTCACAGCTGCTGATCAGTGAAGTGGTAACTGTATCACGTGTCTATGTCTGTTTCACTATGTTAATTTTATTTCATTTCCATTCAATCAGTGACTAGTTTTGGTAACAACATATACGTATTGTTTATTTGTTTGATGGCCTATCATAATAAATATTATTGTATTGTATTATATTATTGAATTGCTGAAAAGCAAGGATTGTGGTTTCTGAATTTACACTTAGTTTTCAAGTTATTGTTTTTATTTATTATTAATTCTATAAGTTTATTTCAATATAATTATTATTAAATAAGATACCTGCCTTTGGTAAGAAATATCCTTTGAATGTGATATCTTGAGTGGTCGCGTGTGGAAGATTTCCTGGCACGATATCACCAAATCTTTGGATTTCATGAATAACTGCATCCGTATATGGCATTTCTTTACGATGTTCTGTCTGGGGTTGAGCTAATCCAATCACTTTCTCTATTTCATTTTGGACCTTTACTGTAACCAGAAATAACACCTTTGTGAGTAATAAACATATAATCCAATAATCCTTTATTTTCTTAAATTTAGATGGGGATATTTATTCGTCTTCTTAGACTTAGAACATAGCTTGGTAATAGTCTTCTAAAAGATTCCCTGTTTGCTGATCTTGAATTTATATATGAAAAGGAAAGTAACAACTCTTATTATATTATTATAATTTATAAAAGTAGCAACATATTTCACAGTGCTGTTCAATAGGTGGAATAACAAACAAGTACTTGCAACAAGACAAGTTTAAAGTTCAGGAAGAAAATATACTGAGAGTTCCGCTCAATTGTGTTTAAATGTGTCCTTGAAGGTATACTTTAGTTGCTGAGCTAAATGCAGCTTTCTCAGCCATTAATTTCTTTTATCATGGTACATCGTTAGCCATTAGTTGCTTGTTTGGTTATTAGTAAACATTCCTATTAAAAGTATACATCTAATTACTTTAAAGAGGAGCTGTCACTTCCAGAGATCTGACTTGTTCGTACACACCCAGCAAACACTATTGTGGTAATAACTGAGTGAATAATGTCCCAGAAGTAAGTAAAAAAAAAAAAACATACCTTTTATGCACTTCCTTTTTGCAGTGACTTTGCCATGCTATACTGTCTTGTTGTATGCACTCATACGCTGTGTGTACTTCCAGTTTAACCCCTTATAGACACAACTTCTGGAATAAAAGGGAATCTTGACAGAATATTTCCGTCATGTGTCCTTAAGGGGTTAAACTCATTTACACACATGACAAAGACTATAAATGAAAACAAAAGAATCTGAAAAGAATTTTGAAGAAAAAAAATGTAGCACAATCAATAGCTGACTTTAAGTTAGCTATCAAAAAGTACTAAAATGAAGTTAAAGACAGTTCCTCTTCAAGTTAGAGAGTTAGAGAGCTGTGTCTATACACTATTCAAAAAAATAAATAAAAAAAGCTGGGAATTTACTGAACTGAGATTTCAAAATTAATTTCCATTTATGATCAAAATAGCCAAACTATAAAAATTCACTGTCGTTTGTGTTTTTAGTTTGGCTACTCTAGCCTTAAATTTGAGACCCACTTTAAATACTCACTTTCACTTGCACTCATACAGCAAAGCCCTAATCCTTGCTAAAAAAAATCATACTTTTCCTCTCTCAATAGTTCATACTCTGACAATCCCATGCATCTCTTTGATACATTCAACTCTCTTCTTTGCCCTGTCATGGCAACCACTCAGCTGATAAATTTGCCTGATATTTTACTGACAAGATTAACTAATTAAGGAAAGAATTTATCCCCTTTACTACTCTCTGTCTAAACTCCAGCTGGACTTTTCCTTTCCTACTGTTCAGGTCTTAACCCCAGCTATTGAACAGGAGGTAGCTACGCTTCTTTTCTCTCACCCAACCACATTTTCTTTAATTTGATAAATCTTTGCACACAATTTTGTTTCACAAATCATAAGATAATGACATACAGATAAGGTGTTTGTAGCATACAAAAGCGGTATGTGGTGATTCTACCCAGGAGAAGCTGTGGTATACATACAAGTCTTGTTGGCTTGATATTACATGAGATGGGGACAGTGGTTACATACATTTTACAAGACAACTTACAAAGTGATTCCTTCTGTCCTTGGGAGTATAACTGGGTTAGTTTGGTTTACTTTATTGCACTTTTGTAATTTCTGTCTCCCTCCACATTAACGACACTATCATCAGCTACACCATGCTGGCTCACTGCCTAGGTATTCTCTTTGATTATGACCTCTCCTTCACTCCTCATGTCCAGTCGATTGGCAAATCATGACGCTTCCATCTCAAAAACATTGCACTCATCTACCCCTATTTAACACCAGACATGGCTGAGGTACTGGTTCATGCCATGATCCTCTATCACCTTGACTACTGCAATCTGCTTCTCAGTGGTCTTATATGCTCCCAACTTGCCCTGTTAAAGTCTATAATGAATGCGGTGGCTAGGCTCATCATCCTGTCAGCCCACACCTCCCATGCCTCATCCCTCTGTCAGTCCCTGCATTGGCTTTCTGTAAGATACAGGGCTCAATTTAAAATTCTGGTTTATGCTTTCAAATCTCTACATAATGCTGCTTCCACCTATCTATCCTCCCTAATACACAAGTAAGTCCCATATAGGCCCATACACTCTGCCCAAGACCTACCTCCACCCTCTGTTTGTTCTCCTACCTCTGATGCTCGCCTTTAAGACTTCTCTAGGGAAGCACCATTCATGTGGTACTCCCTTCACTTCTCCGTTAGATGCTCACCCAGTTTCCAATCCTTTAAAATAACTTTAAAAAACTCACTTTATCATGAAAGCGTATCAATTAAACTGTTAATAGCTCCCAAATGATTCCTCTCCTGCAACTGTCTTTGAAAAACACAATAAGTCGTCAGTGAATACCAATCTACTTATCTACTACTACCCTTACCTTTTATGGCACTTTATCCCACTACTCATTCAGCAGGGCCCTCAACCCCCCCTCCATTCCTGTGTGTCCAACTTGTCTGCTTACAATTATATGTTTGTTAATCCACCCAATTTAAAGTACTGCAGAATGTGTTGGCACTATGTAAATAATAATAATAATAATAATAATAAATCTATGTGACAGCCAGGCATCAAAAGCCTGTCTATTCGTGAGTAAGTATTGTGGTCTGAGAGAAGAATGTATATTCTCTGTCATCTGGGTAGAGGGTCCTCCAGACATATTTGTGCTTTGTGAATGGCTTGCAGGAAGAGGCATGTTTGGAAAATCTTGGTGATTGTGGATTCACCATTTGAGGGATGTGGTTAAAGTCACCACAGATTATTGTGATCCCCATCTGGACTGATGGGAGGTGTTATTTATCAACCAAATTGGAGATGCCACAGCATATACCTTATTGTGTGGCAAATTGGGTAATTTATCATAAGGGTTGAGCCAACATGAGATGTTCTTAACCCCTTAAGGACCAAACTTCTGGAATAAAAGGGAATCATGACATGTCAGACATGTCATGTGTCCTTAAGGGGTTAAGAGAACAGTGTTGTTATTATAAAAATTTTAAATTGTTTAATGTTTTTTTTTTTTACCATAAGGTGGCATACTATGGATCTCAGTAATAAACCATACTTGGTTGTTGATCTATGAGTTAAATAGTGCATGCTGTGGAGCAATGTGCTAAATATAAAATTTTGTTGTGTGCTTTCAGTTTGTAGGATTCAGTTACCCATATTTTAACTGTGCTGCCATGTGCACTGTTCTGTTTCAAGCGAAGGTAAGTAAAATTATGTATTTGCAACCTAGAGAATCACATTTAGCAAACCCTTGAGAAACAACAGGCTTACGAAAGCGGTATATGTTAGCTAATATAACTGGTACTTGCTGTAGGATGGCTGTGTGGCGAGAGAGTTCTGTGCGGTGGAAACAGTCCTGTGGGATACCATACCACTTAGCAAGGAGTTGGGTGAGAGATACAGAAATTTCTTCACTTTTTTCCTGTCCGGTGAGAATTGAGTTGGGTTTGATGTGGTGGTTGCGGATATGCTCAGTTGTATGCCCTAGCAGTGGAGAAGCTTTTTGCCCTCTTCTGGTGTTATCTGATAGGCAGTCCAATTTTTGTGGCTGATTAGCTGAACTGGGTATCCCCACCAGTATTGGATTTGGTTTTGTTGCAGGGCTCCCGTAATTTATCTCAGCTCCTCATGTTTCTGCAGTGTAGCATATATTTGGATGGAGGCATAACATTTTGAGAGATCTTTTGCATTTTAAGCAGGTTTGAGCGGTTCTTCTATAGCATGAAAGTAATGGAAAGGAGTTAGGATGTCTCTTCTATTGGGAGGAATTTCAGCTTGACAATCCCGTGGACATTATCCAATAACAATATATCAGCATATAGATCTGGAGGCAATGAACGGAAAAATCCCATCAAGAACACCAGTAAGTCTGATTGTTTATGCTCTCCGTGATCCTCTCCAATCAGAGATTTTGCTGGAGGAAGCTGTCCTCCATGTCCATTAGCTTTGTCTAGGCAGTCTCCAGTTGCTGCACGTGGTCTGCCATGTTGTTGTGAGATTTAGCAAATTCACCCATGCGCTGTTCCAGATTGCGTTAGGGGTGGTTGTCCTGACATAGCGTCAAGGCATTGTTGGAGGATTTCTTGAGCAACAGGTGAGGATTCTCTCATTGGAGATGCTGGCAAGGGTAGAGTGTCGTCCCCTCTGCCATTTTGGTCAGCTTCCCCTAGGTTCTGGCTCTTTGTCAGCTGTGTATGGGCAGTAAAGAAACTTGGCCGTTCGCTCTTTTCTTTTTTTTGTGTGTGTTTATGTTGAGTTATCTCTTGGTTGATCTGGGGAGTTCTTCACTCGGTTGTAACACTCTATTTTCCAACTTTTAGGGCTAAATAATTCGGAGGTTGCTCAAAGGGCAACCATCCGCAGGCTCTCCAGGCCACAGAGATCCTAGAGATCTTGAGTTTCATAAATGTGTTTGTTCAGTGTCTCCTTTTTTTAATAACACCTCCTCCCCTTATCCTGTCTCAGTTGGAGTTCCCCAAGGATCTATTATTGGTTTACTTTAGTTTTCCCTTTATACTGTCTCTCTTGGCAAATGTCCTAAATCAGTAAGGTTCCACTACCACCTGTCTGACGATGACACTACCACCTGTCTGGCATATACCTCTCCTGCCCTAATCTCTCTCTTACTTTCCCAGAACGCTTCACTTTTCACACGTTATGAAACTCAAGATCTCTAAAGCTGAGCTTATTATTTTTCATCCTCATTAAACTGATCCTCCTCTCCTTAAAAGTTGAAGGCATTCACATCAGCTCTTTCATGCAAGCTCACTGTCTTGTGCTTTATTTGATTCTGGCTTCACCTTTACACCTCACGTCTAGTCTGTTGCCACATCCTGCTGATTCCACCTTAAAAACATTGCCCGTGTCCACACAAAATGATGTTAAGGAACATTGTAATGATGCTTATGAGTGATTTGTTCACATTGATTAATGTAATTCTTTTCTAATTGGTCTCCCCAGAAACAGTACTGCCTTATTACAGTCCATAATGAAGGCTACTGCCAGGCTGACTTTTCACTCATGTCACATCTCACCTGGCTGTCAGTCCTTACATTGGCTTCCTGTATCCTATAGGAGTCAACACAAAATACTAACCCTTGTCTATAAAGCTCTTATCAACTCTAGCTCCCACTATATTTCTTTACTAATTTGTAGGTACGCCCATTCTAGGTCTCTCCACTCTGTCTGTGACCTTCTCCTGTCCGCTGCTCGCACTTTTACTGCTAACTCATACTTGCAGGACTACTCGCGGGTGGCTCCTTCTTTTCAGAAAAGGTTATGGTCTCCCAGAGTAACTTCTATTTCACAAACCTGTTTATTGGTCTCTCTAAAAGGGCTACACTCCACTTTCGCCTTCCAGTTCTGCTACTTTCTCCTACTGTTCCTGTAACATTTTGTAATTGTTTAATTTATAGTTAAATTCCTCAATCTACAGTATTGTAAAGCGCTGCGGAATATGTTTGCACTATATAAATGCCAATTATTATAATATCACTATATTAACATTAGTAAATGTATTGAGCACTTCTTACAAATGTCGAATGCAAAAAACAAAATAATGGTTGATGATATAATTGCTTATGCTACAGTCTTTCTTCAGCAGAAAACAAATAAATCTCTAGTACCTGGGTGTAGGCAATCTTCATCATTCCAGATGCTGTGGACTACATCCCCCATAATGCTTTCAGTCATAATGTTTGCAAATCATGAGGGGAGATGTAGTCCACAACATTTGGAGTGTGGCAGGATGCCTACTGCAGCTCTAGTAAGAGGTGTTTTTTTAAGGAATTAAGTAAATACATAATTGTAAAACATGTGGCACATGGGTAAATAATATTGTTGTAGGGTTTTGGTGACATCATAAAAGTCAAAATTATGTATAGCCCCAAAACCAGGAGATGGTATTATTTTTCCATAATGTACACTTCAGCGTTATCGTTTATATTACATTTGCAATTATGCACTTCCCAAAATCCTAGATGTTCTACCAGTTGTTTTTAGGACAGGGTGTGCTAGCCCGTTCAATGCTACAAACAAGGTGCTCAGTTCTGCTACTAAATTGTGATCTTATGAAGGAAAAATATTTAATAAGTGGTTTATAACCTATATTGCATTCATTTTCCCAAGACTTTTGTCCAGTAAGTGTGTTAGTACATAATTAAACCACAAAGCATAAGGGCAAATTATACACTCACTCTGAATATCTGGGTATTTCATCATTAGCAGAAGACCCCAGCGTAGCGTTGTAGAGGTTGTCTCCATCCCAGCAGCAAACAAGTCAATCACAAGAGTCGTAAGGTTCTTGTCATTGAAATATAATTCAGGATCAGGCTTTTCCTATTAAAATATATATTGAGAAATTATAGACTATTACAGGGTAACATTTTCACTATTGTTATTATCTATAATGCAACAACATATTCTGTAGCACTGTACAATAGATTGACTTACAGCACAGTAGTGGCAAAAAGACAAGTTGGACATATAGAAACTAGAGGAGCTGAGGCTCAAGAAAAACAAGCTTACATTGTAAAAGGAAAGGGGTTTACCGTAATAACGCAAAAGGCTAATTCATGTAGAAAAGCGGTGATAAAAATGTTATAAATTCTAAGGATGAACAAATAATTGAAATAATCGCTTTAGTTATAAAGCTGCAACAAATTTTGGACTCACAAGAAAAGAGGGTGTTGAAGGCCCTCATAAGCCTGGGATCTAAAACTCTGCCCTCCCAAATCTTAATTTTCCTACAACTCTCAGAAATCTGTATTCAATGGCCATAGAGTCATGAGTTGTAGTTCTGCAACATCTGGTCTCCGCAGTTTGATATGTCAAGGTTGTGACCATTATAGTGCTCTTCTTTAAGGATCCTATTACTAAATAGAAGGACCTGCCCATAAAGTAGAATATTTCTTATTAGAATAGTTCACACAGGGACAAGAATAGTGTAACATTTGGGGACTAAAGGAATAATATGTAGACTTAGCATTATCAGGAGTTGGCTCTAATCTGGAAAATAAATTCATAAGTCACGGACACAAAATATGAGACTCGGCACGTATAGCTTTTTTAAATACTTGCTTAATATTACTGATTTAAAAAACAAACAAACTATTTTTGCATATTATGCACTAAGATTAAAGCCTAAAACCTGTGGTTTTCATCATTTGCTGACTGAGCTATTCCCACCGCGTGATACTTGTACAATTTACGTGAACCCATACAGGAAGTTAACAGGAATTCAAAGTGCATTAAAATATTTGTCCAAAAAAGTTAAATTCCTTAAGTGAAACCTTAACCTCTTATGGACCAAACTTCTGGAATAAAAGGGAATCATGACATGTCACACATGTCATGTGTCCTTAAGGGGTTAAACCTTGAGGTTATATGGAAATTAATTAAACTTTATAAGACTGGCTTTGATTTAAGAAAATTACCTCCGAACTCCAAACAAGTTCAACACAGCAGTCTAGCCTTGCATGTATTCCATGACAAATTCAAAAAGTCTCTTGTGCAGTATGATATTGAACTATGTTATGTAAATAGAACATGGAAATGAAATATGTTTAGAAATACATTTCAGGTGGAGATATGGGTGGTTAAGAAATCTGAAATGCCCTCTAGTGGCTTGTTACAGTACTGCATACATAAGCAAACACAATGCAGGTATAAGAATATCAAGAAAATCTAATAATACCTCTTTTTGTTTGACAAGGAATGCATCGATAAAGTTTCTCTGGTTATTGATGTCTAGGTGATTCCTATGTGCTGTGAAAGTCTCTCTAACAAAGCTTCTCAGCTCTTCTATGTTTTTGATAACGGTTTTGTGACTTCCAGGCAACCATTGCAGCACAGAAGGAAAGACATTATACAGCTTGAAAAAATAAACAGACTGTAGTTAGAGCATGTTACAGTCTTTATATAGGTTGTTTGCATTTTACTGTATCCCGGCTCATACATAGATGCGAGTTTTATCTTGGATCATATATGACTGTTACTGTTTTGCTAACTCTGAAATTGTGTTTACTAAGCCATCGATATATGTATACCTATTTCACATCCTATCAGAAAGAGAGTTTTGATTGGGGTTATGCAGCCATTGCTGGTCCTCTAAGTCACACTCTTTGTCAACTCAACTATTGTTACGGTGGATCTGTTATACAAACAATTTGGGGTTAGCACGTTTATATTTCTTCTTACATGTTTAAAATGTAATGTGCAATAATGAAATTACAATAAATAGTTTATTAGACAAATTTATGTAACATGTTTATCCTCCACGGTGGCTTTTCTGTTACAACCATCCTTCTAAAATAATGGATGGGACATATTGCCCAGTGCATTGCTGCATGTCAGGCAAGAGGGTAAATATGGCAAAGATCAAAGCATGAAGAAGAAACAATGTATTAAAATGGTGTATAATTAATTACCAATGCCATAGGAGATCCCAGAAGTCTGATATTTTCATTTACTAAATGCATGAGCCTTAAAATGGTTGGATCATCATATTCAAAACGACGATCAAGAAGTATAGACACAATGATGTTGGCTACAGCAGCATTCATTACCCTTGTATTTTCAAAAGGCTTCCCTGAAATTAAAGATACAACATGAAAATTCTTACCATATTTAATATATAGTAACATGCCCTGGATGTAGGGAAAAATAACATCCCCGGGACGTACTTGGAAACTAGAGTAATCTGAATGTACATTTCCTGGTTAAACACTTTGTTATTCTTGTATTTACCACAATATTCTTTTCCCATGGCTGCATCACTAATGTTGAAAGGTAAGATTTAACTCAATAATCATATTGTCATGATAGATCAAGAAAACAGAAACATCTTTGTTCTCACTGCAGTATCACTAATGTATTAAATCCTACCCTGAGATCCCTGATGATTTGCCAGGAAAACAAATGATCCAAATCCATGCAGAAAAGTGTAGCTCTTAGAAGAACTAAAATACCATCAGAACTTGGGTATAGTTCATGAAAATGAGGAAACCATGGATATCACCCAGTGTATGATATACATAAAAAATGCTTGGTGCTCAAATTGCCACTACTCTTGGATGGTAACAAGTGTTCTAGTTTCAGTATCAGCCCAATAAAATAAACGGAATGGAATGCCTCCAGCACTGGCCACCACCCATTCGTCCATTGTGGCCCTAGGAGCCGGCTGCATCCCAGACACCAACGCCTCCAAGGCACCTCGGCCATGAGACATCTGGAAAACCTGGAGAAGACTCTGCAGGTCAGCAGCCAATATGGATAACATGCCTGTCACTAGTGACGGCTTGTGGGACAGGTAAGAGAAGCACAGTAAGGACTTAACCGTTTTTTTATTTTTTGTTATGCCTTACAGGTGGACCTCAGTCTAACCAGGAATACAGAAACACAGTCAAGGACCCTCAACTGTTCCTGCTGACTGGTAAGTTCCCTTCCTTCCCCTCCCTTCCCAACTCCTTAAACCTTGCAACATTGTTGCACTATTAATCCAGCCCATCAACCATGGGCAGTAGTCATGCTCCCACTCTCTGCCAATGAATGATTGTCTGTATCGGCATCTGGCCTCTCCTGTTAAAGAAGACTGAAAGCAGCACAGGCCATCTGTAGTCTAGTAAGGTTCAAACTATGCTAAAAATATTTGACAGGTTATGATGGGACAGCACCAGTTTACTCCTGATAACATAACTGTTAAATTTCAAAGAGAGAGAGAAGGATGAGATTTAGACAGAAAGATGCTCCACTAAACGCTCTCCATTTTGCCATATTCCTCTATACAAGAACAGTATTTAACTTACTCTTTCAAATTCTTAACAATATAGAGCTTGCAGCAAAATTAAATTCAGCAGGTGTAGTATTTTAGAAAGTTTATACAAATTCTCCTGTGAATGTAACAGAGAGCATTCACAATTTAATTAAAATTAAATGGCAGCATTTAACACAACAAAATAACGTTTACTGCAGTTGAACACTGACCATTATAAGACTGCAGCTTTTGTGTTAAAGAATCATTTTCTTCATAGATCTTATTTTCTATGGTTTTCTTTCCCATTCCAAAATCTCGCAGCGTTGAAAGAGTAAATCGTCTCATTACCTTCCAGTTTTCATCGCGGGAAAAAACAACACCTGTTAAGAAAACAATGCAAAACATCAAGTAATATACATTAATATTACAACTACATCTTTCCCCGTCTTAATTGTTTTCCTTCTCTCCACTTCTTACCCATTCTCATATTCTATTTTGTTTTGCTTTTTTTCTAAGGGCATCCATTGTTCTCCATCTATGCTATGTGCGCTACTTGTTACCAGTTATTTCTCATATTAATTGCTTTCACTTTTTTTTCTGCTGTTGCTTCATTTTGTGTTTTTTATTCAATTTCGTAATTACACGTTTCCCTTGACACCAAATCATTTAATTACATAAATTGTAATATCTATCATTTTTATCTTGAGATTTACATGTGCCAAAATTTGAGTTTAGGTTTTATATGTAATTATATTATTATTATTACATCTGGAAGAGCATAGTATAGAGTTAGAAGGAACGAGGTTGGGTGGGTAGAGCCGAATAAGATTGAAGAGGCTTGTTGCAGAGGTGTTGCGAGTTAAGATACACAATTATTTAAAGGTATTTACAGTTACGAGTGGAAAGCGGGGGGAGGAGAGGTGGAGCAGAATAGACATTTGTTTTAGAAGTAATTGCTAATCAAGATTTCTTTCAGGCAGATTATTAAGAACTACAGTACAGTAGTAAACTATTGGTAATAATTGTAGTATTATTATAGTAAAGTAATAATCTAGTAAAAAAGGTGAAAGAAATCCGGTGAAATATCTTCTGAATTTCAATTCGTACCTTAAAGTTACAGCATTCAGTTGAAAAGGCTTGTTGCAGAGACGATGGGGGATTGGGCATTAAGGTTGCAACTCTTAATTGAAGAAGCTTGTTGCAGAGATGTTATATATCTTTTCATATTATTGAACTGTTTACGTGTCAGGGTCTCTCTAATAAATTGTAGTTCCTGCAATTGTTAAATATTTGCTCGGAAAGTAACATCCACTGTGTTATTTGAATCAGAAACTAGTTCCCACTAGTTTCTGGATATATAAAATGTATTTAGCTAGAAATTCAGAAGAAAAAAAAAATCACCCTTTTTGAATGTCTTACCTCCTTTAGTGATCTAACCTCCCTATAGTGTCTCACACTTCCTTGTGTCAGACAAGGAAGAGGATATAAAGATCTTTCCTGTGATCTATAAGACCACACTACACAAAGTGGCAGGCGGGAGGGTGAAATCTGTGCACCCCCCCTCACTTCAGTCAAGCAGACATTGTGTACCCAAGGCTAGTGCACCCTAAGGCAGTCATCTGTGTAATCTTATGATAGCACTGGCTTTATTTAAATACATGTGTATATATATATATATATATATATATATATACACATATATATATATATATATTCTGTGTGTGAAAAACTAAGTACACCTTATGATTCAATAGCTTTTAAAACCAACTTTAGCAGCAATAATGTGAAATAATCATTTTCTGTATGTCTTTATCTGTCACTCACATCGTTGTTGAGAAATTCTGTCCTACTCTTTTTCACAATTTTGCTTCAGTTCATTTTGGTTTGCTGGTATTTATTTATGCACAGCTCTCTTAAGCTCCAGCCACAGCATCGGTTGGAGGACTGTACCATTGCAACACCTTGATTATTTTCTTTTTCAGCCATTCTGTTATAGTTTTGCTGGGGTCATGTTTCATCAACCAATATACCTGTGGAATGTAGGAAGATGGCCCTAGACGGCCCTGGATCCCCAGGCTGCATGCCAAATTGGCTGACTTGAGTGCCAAATAATTGGGACTGGAAGGTGGTGGCCTGTTATTTGGAGATAAATTTGTCAAAGAGCTTAATTGCCATGTGGCGGTTTACACTACCATCAGCAAGGTGCAAGTCTCACTGAAATTAATGTTTCATGTGAATCCTTGCTCCTCCAGGGCTGGCCAGAAGAGAGGCTGTGCTGCTAACCGTGTCGCCTCCATAGGCTAAAAGCCTTGTTTTCAGGCCTTGCAACACTATGATATGATATGCAGTAATATGCAACCAGGCACCCAAATCTTACTCCATGTCAGTTTTCTATCCTTATTTTTGGGCCACCCTAAGTGGTGTGTGGCCCATTCTATGCATTGGTATCTGTCGGTAACATCTTCCCTCCGACCTTCTTCTGCAGGCCGTCTATTTCTTTCCTACGTCTCTCCTCAAAGTCCTGTCTCTTTGACTACGGTGGCTCAGTGGATCCGATAGCTCTTGATGTCGGCTGGCATTGATGCTTCTTTCGGGGGCCCATTCATGGAGCTGCAGTTTTGTCAGTTTTCTCCTCGGGTGGCTCCATCTGATATCCTGTCAGTGGCAGATTTGTCTCGGGAAACCACGTTCCGGACCTTCTTCTTTTGGCCGCATTCTCAAGTGACTTTGGATCTTTTTTCTCAGCATTAAAACAGCAAATATGAAACCTCCTATCTTGTATTAAAATTGGGGATTAGACTAGCCGTTAATAAAGACAGGAGGGGAGTATTTGTCTCACCCAGGTTATTCAGTTGTTTGTATCTCTTTCCCTGCCACTCCCTTCCTATTCTGCTTGTTTGGACTTGTAGTTACTTGTTTTGTTTTCTTCCATGTGTGGTTTCCGATTCCATTGTTGTTCTCACCATTTAGTTCCTCTTGTGTTGTTTTGGTCTTTGTCTTGTTGTGTTTATTACATCCTTTGTGCCTGTACTGTGTGCATTGCATGTTATAACGTAGTTAATAGCACCCAGGATCTCATGTGTTTCTATTCTTTTCCGGCTTGATATGCTTCTGGAGTATCCGGTCCTGTTTTCCTGTGTTTCATGACTGTTGTTTCCAGTTCCATTTCTTGGTTATGGTTTCTTCCTCTACCTGCTCAGCATCACCAAATAGAGAGGATATATTAGGGACCTGTTATGTTTTTATTGCACTGTAATGTGTTCTCATAGGTTGTTTTTTTTTTTTTAGATTTAACTCTGTGTTAGCTGCTGGGAGGTTCAGTAAAGAAAGGTTAAGAAAATACTTGCCTCCGGACGTTATTAAAATGTAGACTATACCTTCACCAAGGCTAGGCTAATCACCAATTCCTGTGGAAGCAGTAAGGGTGTAATTGTTTTTTCCACTTGGCTTCTCCATTCTGGATTTATTTATGTTAAATAAATCATGACATGGTGTAATATGTCATGTGTTGTTTTTCATATAGCATTGTATTTACCTTATTTTAAACCCTGCTAAAGAACAAATGACTGTTATAATGCCGTGATACTTAAAGCCATAGAAAGCTGCCCTAGAATGCAATATATACACATTGAGATATATATATATCATTTTGTATGTATTGATTGTTACAATTACAATCCTACTTTAATCAAATTAAATGATCTTCGCAAGATCCAAAACAACTTTCACATAATGAAGCAGTTTTGGTGTATAGATCTTTCCTCTGCAGTCTCACTTCTGAATTCTCTGTAATGTAGGAATTTAATCACTTGTGTTTCTGTTATGCTACTCTTGCCACACTTTATTATTAATATTTATAAAGCGCCAACAAGTTCCGTAGCACTGTACAATGGGTGGACTAATAGACACGTATTTATAACCAGAAGAGTTGGACACTCAGGGACAGAGGGATTGAGGGACTGAGGGCCCTGCTCAATGAGCTTACATGCTACAGGGAGAGGGGAATAGTGACACAAAAGGTTAGAGTATGGTAGAAAAGTACTTTTCTAGGATAGTATTCATAGAGGGCTTAGTGTTGTTTTAATGACAGTTGCAGGAGAGAAAGCTGTTCACAGTTTAATTGGTAAGCTTTTCAGAAATCATTTTTCAAAGATTTTTTGAAGGAATGGAGATTGGGTGAAAGTCTAACAGAGAGGAAAATGGTGTTCTATAGGAACGGTGCAGCCCTATTGAAGTCTTAAGGCAAGCTTTAGAGGTAGGAATACAAACAGAGGTTAGATGTAGGTCTCTGGCAGAGTGTAGGGGCTTCGACAGGACATATTTGTGTATTAGTGAGAATAAATAAGTCAGAGCAGCATTGTGTAGAGATTTGTAAGCAAGCATCAGTATCTTTAATTGAGTCCTATATCTTACTTGAAGCCAATGTAGGGACTGACAGAGCAGGGAGGCGTGGGAGGTGAGGGTGGACAGGAAGATAAGCCTCGCTGCTGCATTCATTATAGACTATAACGAGGCAAGTTGGAAATACGTAAGACCACTGAGAAGCGAATAAAAGTAGTCAAGGTAGTCATTATGGAACAGTTACAAGATCTGGGACAGTTGACAATGGGTCTTAGCTAATGTAGCTAATCTGGTGTCTCCCCCATTTAATTGTTACATATATTTTATGTCAGTTACCATGTCCTAAAAATAGCTCATCAAACAGCGCCATTCTGGGTCTTCCAGCAAACTCATCTGCATGGTTAATGAGAGCATCTTTCACTGTTTCGTATCCACAGAGCACAACCCTCTTATCGGATCCTATCTGAATGCTGAATACTGAGCCGTACTTCTCTGAGAGCTGCAAAGTACAATAAAAAAAAATAAAAAAAAACAATACATAATTATTTTTATTTTATATTTTAGGGACAGTGAATTTTCAGATACATGACATTGTATTGGACACATCACATAACATTATTACATGATATATATTTGAGTCAACAATGCATTATTTTCACATATTCTTGTCAATATAAGATACATTTACACAGGTCCTAAAGGGACACCATGTTAGACCCCAGAACAGAATGGCAACCAGGCCACAAACAGAACACGTAGTTTAGCTATTTCATTGGGAAAGTTTCAGTTTTTCCTCTTTGACTTTGCTATGTCAAATAAATTAAATGACAGCTTTACCCTTACTTAAAATTTTAAGGACACCATTTTGATTATCCTCCCAAATGTTGCCATATTCTTTCAGACAATGACTTTTGAACCGCTATAATCCAATGTTTTGACGACTGCTATTTCTTATTTATCTAAATGTTGTTACATAGTCTACATAATCTGCATGTACATATAAGTGCCTATAGCAAAAACATATGTTAGGACTATGTTAAGACATCAAATGAAAGAAAAATAAATACCCGGGTACACCTGAGGTTTCTTCTTAAAGGCAATCTTTTTTATGTTAAACAAGCAAGTGGCGACAACATTTTGGCTTCTCTCTGAGCATTTATCAAGTCTACACTTCCTTGTTTCAAATTAAAAAAGACTGCCTTTTAGAAGAAACCTTAGGTGTGCCCGGATATTTATTTTCTTCCATAATAAAAAAGGAGGCCACGAATGTCTAATTTAATATGTATCTTGTGAACATTACCTGGATCAATGATTTGTTTGGCCTCTTCAAATCTAAATGGTGTATATTTCCTATGATTGGCAAGGCCTTTGGTCCAGGGGGGAAATTCCAATACTTGCTTTTACTCCGAAGATAGGAAAAATAAAGGAAAGATATACAGATGACGGAAAGTAAGATTGTAACTGGGTCCATTGGAATAATATCTTTGTCCAGTACCTGGGAACACATATAGAAAGGTTTTATATTGAATGCAATTGCATTCACAGAATAGGACAAAAGGGTATGGATCTTTTCAAAAGATTTTTATGCAAAGGTGCCCAGACAAGTAAAATGATATGTAAGAGGATCAGCATGGATTTTAATCTTATTTCCACTTGTTCCACATTTACACAGATACTAGGAGGAAAGGCACAGCCATCACAGCAGAATAGCTTCAGTCATATTACCCACAGAGAGAGGGGTATTGTAAATTAAAAAAAAAATGTGTTTTTTTGTAAATACTATGGACATTTAGCAGTGAACATCTAGAGGCAGTGGCGTACATACCAGGGTCGCAGGGGTTGCGGTTGCGACCGGGCCCGGCCCACCAGGGGGCCCGGCCGCCCCTGCGACCTGGTATGTAGCCACAGGGCCAGCCTCTTCCCCTGGGGGGCCCAGGAGCCGACCACCCCAGGGCCCCCCGAGGCTGGACCTGCTGACCCCAGCTGGCGGGTGGCACTCAGTGCTTCCTCTTCAGCTCCCTCGCGCACCGCACTGATACCGGAGCCAGATGATGACGTCATCTTCCGGCTCCGGCGTCCCTACGCGGCGCGCGAGGGAGCAGAAGAGTAAGCACTCAGAGCAGAGTGCTCCCTCGCGCGCCCGCCTGCCCGACCGGCCACCCGCCAGCTGGGGTCAGCAGCACCACTGGACCCCAGGGAATCCCCCCAGCACTCCAAAAGGTAAGGAGGCTGGGGGGATTACATTAAAAAAGCATGTTAGAGTGTGTGAGTGTTAGAGTGTTAGTGTTAGAGTGTGTGTGAGTGTTAGAGTGTGTGTGAGTGTTAGAGTGTTAGAGTGTTAATGTTAGAGTGTGAGTGTGTGTGTGTGTGTGTTAGAGTGTTAATGTTAGAGTGTGTGTGTGTGTGTGTTAGAGTGTGTGAGTGTTAGTGTGTGTGTGTTAGAGTGTGTGTGTGTGTGTGTGTGTTAGAGTGTGTGAGTGTGTGTGTGTTAGAGTGTGTGTGTGTTAGAGTGTGTGTGTGTGTGTGATGTAGAGTGTGTTGTGAGTGTTAGTGAGTGTTAGAGTGAGTGTTAGTGTGTGTGTGTCTGCTAGTGAGTGTTAGTGTGTGTGTGTGTGTGTCTGCTAGTGAGTGTTAGTGTGAGTGTTAGTGTGTGTGTCTGCTAGTGAGTGTCAGTGAGTGTTACTGTGTGTGTCTTACTGAGTGTGTGTGTTAGTGAGTCTGTTTGATGTCTGTTAGTGAGTGTGTGTTTGTCAATGAGAGTGTATGTTTTGTAAGTGAGTGTGTATGTATGTCTGTCGCTGATCTCTGTCAGTAAATGTGTGTGTCTGTTAGCTAGTGTGTATGCGTCTGTAAGTGAGAGTGTGTGTCTTCAGCACTTACCTTTCTCCAGCGCCGGACTCCCTTGGCGCTGGGGATCCCTCAGCCTCTCAGCTCCGAACGCGTCCGCTCAAACCGCCCATAGGAAAGCATTACTCAATGCTTTCCTATGGACGTTCAGTGTGCTCCTGTAGCGGCTGTCAGTGAGACAGCCACTAGAGGCTGGATTAACCCTCAGTGAAACATAGCAGTTTCTCTGAAACTGCTATGTTTTCAGCTGCAGGGTTAAAACTAGAGGGACCTGACATCCAGACAACTTCATTGAGCTGATGTGATCTGGGTGTCTGTAGTGGTCCTTTAAGTGTGTGTGCATCTGCATGCACTGGCGTACATACCGCGGTCGCAGGGGTCGCAGCCCTGTAACCCCTGCGACCAGGTGCCCACCGCCATGTGTTGCGGCCCGGCCCGCACGCACAGGGGGGCCCACGGATCAATTTTCGCACCGGGGCCCCATGGGTCAAGTGTACGCCACTGTCTAGAGGATTAGGTAGATATTGTGGTGTGTAGGGACTTTGCCCATTTCCTATGGTGTGTAGTTGCTTTGCTTGGTCAGAGCAATACATATCTCAGTAGATGCCAAGATCACCCATGGATGTGGGCTCTGTTTTGTATTGGATACAGCCATCTTACTAGTTATCAGTAAGCATAAATGAGAAGCCAGTGTTTTCAGCTCTTACATTGCTGACTGCACTCTGATGTTTTACAGAAAGAAAAAAAGGAATTCTTAAACAACTGCTATATGCCCCCATCTAATGGATTAAACTAATATTACTATGTATGCAGGCATGCAGTCTACATATAGCCAGCACATACATCACATTCCATAGGTAAACAGAGGGAGAAGCAATGTAGAGGGCAGAGGTTGAAACGTTATACACAGGGCTCTAGGCAGGGGTGTAAATCTTTCTTTCAATCACAGAAAAGAGCCTGTGGCTCTAGGAGGAGAACCCTGTGTGAAATCCTGCCTAGGGCACTGGTCAACCTTAATCCCCCACTGGTAAGGGTGAGTCATTGTGCGTGTATTTCTTTGAGTGTATTTGTGCATGTGTGTGTCCATATGTCAATAAACGCCTGCATTCTAAAACTACACATGAATGAACCGCTGCATCTGTAAACTCCATACAAAAACACTCATATATTTAAAGATCTATTGTGTTATTATGGTCTGGGTGCAAAAAAGCAACAGATGAAAAAAATAACTGATTGATTTAACATATTATGTCAAATATGCAATGAAAATTAGATATAAAAGTTTTGGGAATTCAAAGACAATTAGGGCCAACATAGCTGACTTTGACCATTTTTTCCAATTCTTCTATTTTGGTCTTAAATTTGAAATTCACTTTAAATTAACAATACTCACTTTATTGAATAACCCTATTAATGTCACAGGGCCACATGCTGGTCAATGGAGGGCATACCTCTAACTTACCTCTGTTACTTCTCAAAACTATACAAGTCAGCTTTACTGTGCATAGAGGCTATAGCTGAGCGGGCTTCTGGAATTTATAGCACAAATTCAACATTACTGCTAATTGTAATGGAAACTGATTATAAGCTATATGAATAGATTCAGAATATGCAATGCGAAATAGATTCAGAACATTCCATGACATTACAATGTGTCTGCAAATGACATGCCATGCTGGGGTTTATTTGAATGTTAAGACCAACAATGTCCACCAGTTAAAATCAATCAATCAAAACATCAAAGTCTGAATTTTGTAGTAATAAAACTGGCAGGTCCCTAATCTGGCCTTTTACCTTTTTTTTTTTTTTTTTTAGTCAGTTTGTACCTGTATGTAAAAAGCAAATAAAAATATAATTAAATTGTTTTGTGATGGAATAGTTATGGCACAATTGACAAGATTTCCACAGATAAATAATCAATTTTATTTCTATTCTGTACAAATCCAAAATTTGTAGAATGGGTTTGAATTTGGTGATTGTTATTAAATATAAATAAATGTGTCCTTGCCTATAACCTAACACTTTTTTAATATTAATATATATACACACACACACACACATATATATATATACACACACACACACACACACACACATAAATATATACACCAGAATAGCACTCCCGGGACTCCAAAGCCGTATAAGTAAAACTTAGCTTTTATTTGCTCAACAAATAAAGGATTTATATTTCAGTTTGTAATCCAAACTTTCATCAAGATGAGCGAATACAGTATACACATTACATTATATACCCACCACCAGCATATTCACTTATCCCATAAAGTAAAGGGACCATGTCTGAGACCGCCTGAGCCAGAGCCTCAACGAGCAAGCAATGGACCTTGGTTGCGTCATCAAGCTGGTTTTCATGGGAACAACCACTGATCACGTCACTGCGCCAGACGCAGCGTGATGACGCAACCCAGGTCAAGAAAAAAATTTATAATAATAATTATATATATATATATATATATATATATATATATATATATATCTTTTTGGAGTGTATATATACTCCAAAAAGAGATAGATCTCTCGCAATCTCTCTCTAGATCTCTCTCTCGATCTCTCTCTCGATCTCTCTCTCTCTCTCAATCTCTCTCTCTCGATCTCGATATCTCTCTGTCTCTCGATCTCTCTCGACCGATCTCGGTATCTCTCTGTCTCTCTCTCAATCTCTCTCTCTCGATCTTGATCTCTCTCTCTCTATCTCGATCTCTCTCTCTCATTCTCTCTCTCGATCTTGATCTCTCTCTCTATCTCTCTCTATCTCTCTCTTGATCTCAATCTCTCTCTCTCTCGATCTCTCTCGATCTCTCTCGATCTCTCTCGATCTCTCTCTTTTGATCTCAATCTCTCTCTCGATCTCGATCTCTCTATCTCTCTCGATCTCAATCTCTCTCTCTCTCGATCTCAATCTCTCTCTCTCTCTCTCGCTCTCTATCTCTCTCGATCTCTCTCTCTCAATCTCTCTCTCGATCTCTCTCTCTCTCGATCTCGATCTCTCTCGATCTTAAGCTTTCTCTCGATCTCTCTCTCGATCTCGATCTCTCTCTCGATCTCGCTCTCGATCTCGCTCTCTCTCTCGATCTCTCTCGATCGATTGATCTCCATCAATCTCGATCTCTCTCTCACGATCTCGATCTCTCTCTCTCTCGATCTCTCTCTCTCTCGATCTCTCTCACGATCTCTCTCTCGATATCTCTCCCTCTCTCGATCTCTCTCTCACGATCTCTCTCTCCACACACACATTCACTCAATCCATCATCACGATGCATTACTTCTTCCTTTTGAGCCTCAGTCAAATGCTTATGATAGCATTATTCTAATAACATTTGATTGCACTAATCACATAGACTAGGGAAGGGAAAAAGAGACAGTATGATGTGGATGGGGGTATGGTGGACATAGATGGGCAATGTTTACTCAATGCTTTCCTATGGACGTTCAGTGTGCTCCTGTAGCGGCTGTCAGTGAGACAGCCACTAGAGGCTGGATTAACCCTCAGTGAAACATAGCAGTTTCTCTGAAACTGCTATGTTTTCAGCTGCAGGGTTAAAACTAGAGGGACCTGACATCCAGACAACTTCATTGAGCTGATGTGATCTGGGTGTCTGTAGTGGTCCTTTAAGTGTGTGTGCATCTGCACCCAATTTTTTTTTTTTTATCGCAATGCGGGGAAGTTAGGAGGCACGAGCAAGGGAAGGAAAGAGTGTCATAAATGTTTCCCCTTGCAGGCAAATTCTAAAAGCAAAAGAGGTTATTGAGGTTGAAAAAACATTTTAACCTTACAGCTTAACATTAACTTAACAGCAATGCAGATCTTGAAATATTTGAGTCATAAGTAATACAAACAAATCTATTCTGTGGATTTTTTTCCTACATCGTTTGTTCATTTAAAAAAAAAAAAAATTGTAGGTGACATTTGTAATGATTCACAATTAATACTGAGCGCCATAAATTCAAGTACATGTTTTGTAAAATGTTGATTGTGTCAAAAATGTGTCTAAACAATGTTTCTTAATTAATAATGTCAGTTATATGTAACCCTACATCCTAACTACTAATTCTAACCTTGATCAACAACACTCTCACTGTAATAACAATTGTCAAAGTTGACATTTTAAGCAGCATCAATATTTGACTCTTAACATTACGTATTCACCATTTTCAACCAATCAGCTAAACTTTTCACAGTTGCTAAAGTCAGGATTTTGAGAAAAAACACTTGATACCTAAAAAAGCTGTTTTCTCATGTTTTCTACTCTCACATAGATTAAAAGTGCATTTACTTTACAATGTTCTTTACATGTTCCAAGATGCTTGTTTCCTGGAGAATGGGAATGAGAAGTTCTACTCGGTAACACCAAATACTGGATGTGTGATGTTGAGCTTACTTACATTCTATATAATCATTTGGGATTAATACAATATACAATATGAACATGGAATTCATTAGATCGTTAAGCGTAACTTTTTACATTAAATCATAATTACTATAAAAGAGGCACCTTGCAGGGCAAAATGATTGCAAAACAGTCACAACTAATGCTTTTTCCTTATCATACCCAGTAAATAGTGGGATGCAACTGAACAAGTATATTCATAGAAATCAATTACAAGCATGTTATGAGATTTTACTTTTTTACAAACGTCAAGTGACTTTTAAAAGGTGAATAGAAAATAAATACCAACCAGATACCTCTTTGGGTAGGCCTGTAGCAGTGGAATTCTCTTCTGTTTAAGGCAATGTTCTTAGTACATTGTCCAGATTCGTGTGCAGGACAGGACTTTTGTCCCTGCAGTAAACGTTTTTCACACTAACTGCAAATACAGTTCTCTTTCTCCATTTATATTTGAATGGGTGTCTGGCACCATGCCAAGCCAATCCCCGTCTCTTATCTCATATTTCACTGCTAGTGGCTACATGGTATTCAAAATACAGACATCCACAGTTAAAATGCAATGCAGAACTAGAAAAATAACATTTCTTAAAGTAGAACTGTCATGCTGAACTTACCTTTACCCAATTGCTTCCTCTTCTCTTAGGATCTGTTCTTCTTTTCTCCCTATCTTATCTAGTTTTCTTTAAAACATAAGACAAATTGAGACTACTTTGTCTGATGTATTTTTCTTACGCTTGACCAGCTTTGACCATCTTCCTGTGGTAAAATAAGTTTTGCCACAATACTCACCCTTTTCACCATGATCTTGCGATGCCTCCTTTCACTGTTCCCAAACGTCCTGTATTATAGACAGGATGCCTGTGAAACTACCAAATTTCATCCTAACAGAATGAATATAGTTTGTTCATTTGTGTTAAGATAACATTCAGTACTTGTAGTTCGGTTCGAAATGTCATTTGAAAGAATGAAATTCCGATCCATGCTGTCGCTGCATCTTGCAGCTGCTTACTTGATAGCTCCCTAAAGCCCATGGTATTATGGAGTGATCTACCAAAATTCTGAAAGACCAAAATTACTTAGTATTAGTAAATAAGGGAGACTGCCACTACTTGCTATGCCGAGAGTAGGGGAATGTCTGCTAAAAAAAAAAAAAGCCACACCCCACACCTGTTCCAATAAATCATTGTGATTGACTGATTTAAGACAGCATACTGAATATTTGATGTGAAATGAGAACCGTGTTTTGCCTGAACAAACTAATATATAATAAGTATAGGTGTACTTAATATGAAAGAGATGGCTTATGGTTGAACAGACATATAATCAAATTCCAGGTTTTGTTTTGATTTTGTTTTGCACAAATTGTACAATTGCCTCCGTCCTTAAACAGATACTATAGTGCCAGGAATACAAAGCTGTATTCCTGCCACTATCCCTCCCCCTGTCTCCCCTCTCCCAGGCACCCCCTATTAAATAAAGGGTAAAACCCCCTTTATTTACTTACCTTTTCCCTTGCTAATGTCCTTCGATGTTGGGTCGATCATTTGCCCCCTTCAATGTTCCTTAATGCATGGGAGCTAAAGCACATTAGACCTCCCCATAGAAAAGCATTTAGTAAATGCTTTCATATAGGGAAAATGCAGACCGTGAGGATGTCCAGTGTCAGGTACTGAAAAACATAAAAAAAAAAAAACCTTACAATGCACTGTTTTAAATTATTACGCACAGTAAGTTTCAAAACACTTTATAGGTTATAAAGAACTGAAAATTGTCATTTGTTGTATTTGCAGCATATTTACCGAAATCAAAAGCTATTTCAATCAAACCTATAACAACATTTTAACCTTTTCAACATTGTAACAGGTCACGTTACATTTTAACATAGGACCCCTTATTTGATAGCAGCTTCACAAGTCTTGCATCCATTGAACTTAGTGCGATGATCACGCTTAAGTTTTCATGAAATATCTAATGTTTTCATACCTCGTCCAAGGCATTGAACTATTTCACTCTTTTCGGCAGCAGAGAGATCCTTTTTTTCCCCCATGCTGCATGAAAATGGTGCTCTGCTTAATAATATGGAACACCCTCCTTTAGTAGTTTTTCCTTAAATAGGGCTCACCTCGCAATCTAATTATCACAGGTGTCCGAGAATGTTTTCAGTGATCAAAAGAGCCCTGAGACACAATGCCATCCATGAGTTAAACTGAAAAACAAAATATTTAATCTTTGTGACACTTAAATAGAATTTGCATAATAATTTGGAACAGGGTGTATGTATATATTTATATAGATACACTGCCATTGATGTTATGTGAACTGGAAGGGGCTAAATATATTCTGTATACAATTTTAAAATGGTTTCCCAGATGGATGGAACATTGTGTTATATTTGTCAAAGCATGCTTTTAATAAATGACATGCAATATATGGATTAGATAATTTTATTAATTCGGAATATGACTTAAGAATCACTAAATTAAAATAATGTTTCTTTACCCACAGTTTAGAAACTTTAGTGTTGGAAATTTCTAAAATAGAGAAAATTTATGTTTTTGATCCTAATAGAAAAAGCACTATTTCTCTGTGATATTCCTATATAATGCCTATGCAAAAAGCAGACTTTATGCTGGCATGAAAAAACAAAGGGTAGAGTCAGCGCTAATCGGAAAGGCAGCAGTCCCAAACAAGGACTCCCTCAAATGTCCTTGGAATAGATAAGCAAAATCAAATAGATAGGGGATGGGTCTGCGCCAATATATAAAATAAGTAACAATAACAAGTCCAGTGGAGTAAAATATTGGATCTTATATGTGGTCTCCGAAGGTTCTACTTGTTGCGGTATCCAAAAAAATGTGGAGGAAGGTGGTGGGTGATGAGAAAGCTGATCCAAAATAGTAAAAATAGGAGAGGTCTCACTTAGACAGTTGACAGAGCTTAATCCAGCTCTGGTGTGAATGGCTTGCAGCGGTATTATCCCCGCTTACAGGATATACGGCGAGTATCCTCTTCTATGAAGTGACAGACAGCCAAGTGGGAGATACAAATGGAAACAATAATGGTGCAGTATGTTCCACACGTACATTTGGTAGAGCTTCTGCTAGCTCTAGTGTTGTAGGCGTACAGCGGTATAATCCCCGCTTGTAGGATATAAGATGAGTGTTCTTGATGGTAGTATCAGGAGCTCAGAGAGATGATAAAACAGCAATAGTGTTCTCAATAAAATATTGTTCATGTATAAAATAATAAAATATACTCACAGTGTATAGGGCATCCCCATCTGGGATTCTTTGGAGTATCCATTCAGAAGTTATACAAAGGAACTTAATCAGCTTGTTATAGACCAATAATTTCACAGAATAGCCACATTCCAGCAAATGTTAATATAGGTATAAACTGTGTCTTCTGGGGAAAAGGAAGAACATTTTGCATAGCACATAGTGCTCTCCGTAACGATCAGCAACAAAATCAACCATAAGTCTACCAGCCGATAATTACAAACAACAACAGAAAAGTAGAGATGGCATTTAGTGCTGGATAAAAAAAATTACTTTAAAAACTTTAAAAGATCCTCCCATCTAGAGTGATGGTTATAAATGTAGCTATAAATGATATTATTCAAATGTAGAATTATGGTCAAAAAAGAGCAAACAGAACATGAAAATTAAAGGAACACTCTATCAACACTCTATGAGTCACTTGGTGTCATCCCTCTATTCAGTGTTAACCCATTTGTAATAATATTAATACTAAGTGAATGCCCCAAGTGACCCAGTCTCTCTGTGCTGAGCAGACCAGAGCAGCCACCCCTCCTTTCCTCCTGCTCGCACTGCCAGAGGAGCATCTGGCCTGCTTCAGCAGGGCTGGAACTGAAGGATGCACAGCAAATTGAAAGGTAGAAGAAGGGAGACTTGGGGGAGTGGGGCAGTATATTAACTTGATAGGGGGCACTGTATTAATTTGAGGGAGGGGGCACTGTACTAATTTGGGGGATGGAGGGGGACACTGTATTCATTCGAGGGAGGGCAGTGTATTAATTTGACAGAGGGGGTACTGTATTCATTTGAGAGAGGGAGGGGGCCAGTGTGTCATATTGGGGGGAGGGTAGTGCAGAGTGGTGGTGGTGGGGGGGTCCTGTGTGTTAAATTGGGGGAAGGGCAGTGTATTCATTTAAGAGAGGGAAGGGGCAGTGTATTAACCTGAGGGGAATGGAGGAAGTGTATTAGAGTGGTGGGGGGAGTGGGGGCAGTCTATTCCATTAGAGTGGAGGGAGGAGGGGCAGTGTATTAGATTAAGGGGCAATGTATTCAATTGGGTGAAGGGGCAGTGTGTGGTGGAGTGGAGGGAGGAGGGGCAGTGTGTTAGGTTGGGTCTGCAAGGAGGCTCTGAACGCTCCCCATGGAAAAGCCGATTGGCCGCGCAGCTTTTTGCCACACATGCACAATAGCCTCCAAATGCTTTCATATCAAGTTTGATGATCTCAGTCAAAGTGAAGAACACACTCATAGAACTTCAAAATCAACAAGATAACGTCATTTGTTTTTACAGCTGTGCAATAGCATACATTCACAATTTCAGTCCCATTACCAAACATTTCTTAATATGTCAAGGTAGTTTCTTAAAATAAATTCGCTCTTTTGCTTATTTTGAAGCCCTACAAGCGCGATGATGTCCAGTGCCAGTTAGGCAACATTTTTTATACTGTACTTTTCTAAATAAACCTACGTTTCTATGGAAACTGAAGTTTGTTATTTTTTGCGGCCCACATAAACTTAAACCTTGTTTATTTGGCCCGTCTTAGCCTTTGAGTTTGAAATGCTTGTCCTAGAGGGTTTAAAGCAAGCATGTCAAACTCAAAGGCTAATACGGGCCAAATAAACAAGGTTTAAGTCTATGTGGGCCACAAAAAAAATAAAAACTTCAGTTTTCATAGAAACGTAGGTTTATTTTGAAAAGTATCAATAGATATTCAGGTGGTACTTGCAAGGACCCCTCCTGCTGAATGAAGTCACCAGATAGACACTCTAGTAATGTCTAAGGGTTTAACCCCTATAGTTAGAAATAAAAAGTAAAATGTTAACACTACATACAAACACACCTGCCGATCACTTGGCATTCGCGGGCCCCAGGCTGGTGAGGCTGTGCACTGGCCCTAAAGCTAAGTCAACGGCATGTCGACCGTGATAGGTACGCCACTGGACCAAAATATTATTCCCTTGCAGCAGACATACTAAATGCGTCCGTCTGGCTGACAATCTTAACTGGGGCTTATTTTGGGGTAGGGCTTATATAACGAGCATCCTGAAAAATCATGCGAGGCTTTATTTTATGGATAGGTCTTAATTTTGGGGAAAAAATTTAGATAATTGGGGCATTGGTGGACCAGTGTTGCTCCACATTATACATCACTCACCTTATTTGTGAGGGCTTGAGGGCGACTAGTGGCAGATCCCCTTCAATTGTATTATTATTATTATACAGTCCCATCAGGCTAATGTGGAGTTCAGTGGCATGTGTCTCCTATATTATTATTATAGTATTAATTGTACATACTCATCCTGCTGGCTGCCAAATTGCTCAGTAGACCAACCTGCAGCATATTAAACAGGGGTTAAGGGAAAACTTGCCCTCCCAGGAGTTATAAAGGGTCATACTGATGCTCAGGTGCCTTTTTTTTTACTCTTTGCTCTGGCATTTGTCTAGCAAAAGCACAATCATTAAAATTCACATTGCAAAGAAAATCTTTTGTATCAAATTGTTTTGTTTATTCACTTAAAATGACCAAGTGTCACATTTTTTTTTTCAAATTCTTTTGAAATGATTTGGCATTAGGTGCCCAGTGACTTGAGGCACACATATATGGAGTTTCCTCATGTTTCCTAATGAATTTTAATGCTATGTCTTGTTACAAATTACTAACTTTATATATTATATAAAAAAAAATTCTAAGTCATAAATAACAAATGAAACATTTTATTATTTTCTTTTTTTAGTTTTAATGTTTATTGTTTAAAGCATGTTTTGATTTCCATTACAATACAAGCCAACTACATTCCACAAACACTAAACACAATCATTACATACATTACAGTAAAAGCTGTTAATTCCCACCTTCCATTAAAATACATTATTAACAATGTAATTATTTATGTATCTATAAGAAATGGACCTTTATTATTACACAAACCAGGGTTATGATATAATTCCGTTATCTGTTACACATCCAATAATATAGGTTTTGTTTTTATCTTGTGCACACTGTCACTTCCTCCAAACCATTTATAATGATGGACATCATTGAAGTTCTGAGTACACTGCTGCAGCTGGCACTGTAATGGCATGCAGTACATTTACTTAGAAGTAGTTAGGGCTGGTCGGATCTATCAGGGTTCGGGTGACTTATCGTTATAAGTGATCCTGTGAGCTATCACTTCTTGTAAGTACTTACCACCAATATTTAGAGTTGGTACAGGTTTCAGCAGGACTTGCCACCAGGGTTCAGAGGTCGCCCAGGAAACCCTACTCCATATTTTCATTTACTTATTAACAGTTGCCAGCTGGTTCCTTGGTAGTACCACACAGATTTTTTTCAAGTTGCATTGAGTTGGTACTTTCCCTATTTTATGGAAAAGCTCTCTAAAATATCCGACTGAATCTGTTAGTTATTTATTTGTATTGTTTAATAAAATATTTTACCAGGATGGATACATTCTCCTGTTTTCAAGTATGTCCTGGGTCCACAAAACATTGCATTGATACATTATGGTACAATAAAATACAAAAACAATATTAATAAACAATATATATATATATATATATATATATATATATATATATATATATATATATATATATATATAATTCAACATAGAACAGGCAAGAAATATATAATCAAACATGACAGGTGCATTCTGTTTTGAGATATGTAGAGATGGATCGCTTAAAGGATTTTAGGCCTGGGGTAGATTTGAAAGTGTGTGAGAGGTCGTTCCATAATTGTGGTGCTCTTCATCAGATTATTCTCATGCATAAATTAAGTATTGTCCAAAGTCTATATTACAACAACGGAAAAGCTAATCCAGGTATGCATTACCAATTCTGAAAAGTATTCAAATTGTATGATTGCTGTTGGGCCAGTTCTTGTATTACAAATATCAGTAAGAGAGTAAAGAGCACACACTTTACACACACTACATCCGCTACACAAATGCACAATCTGCATCTAATACACACAAACACTACATACATTGCACAGACATACAATCTGCATCGACTTTACACATTGCATCCACTACACACATTCTACATCCACTATACACACACCTCATCGTTGTGGACAACCTTAGGGGCGAGCCCTGTGGGCAGACTCAGGGGCAGACCCTCTGGGTGGAATCGGTTTTTACCATTTCATTATTCATATCTAAGGACTAGCTTAGTGCACACATATTCAGCAGTTTATACTTCGGATGAATTAGAAGAGACTTTTAACCGGCTTAGTCAGGGAAACCATCATCTTACTTCAATTATAGGACCTGGAGTACAGCTGAGTGTCATTCAGTGCGATGTCGATGCTATAACATTGTTATTATCATTCTACTGCTTCGATTATTCATTTATTTGATTATTAATTTATTTTTCTGCTTGTAGTTTATTACGATTTGGGCTTGTACTTTATTAGGTGGTCTCTATTAGGAATATTTATCATTTTTATTTCTAGGACTTATATTGTCATTTTTTAACTGGTGGTTTATCTATGGTATCAATAAATTGTGGTTTCCCTAATTTGCTATCCATATGTGGCATTTTCATATTTAAGGGTGCCAAATAAGGGAGCTATCTGCTAATTTGGTATCCTTAAATATGGCTATCCCACATCAGGGTACCACTTTTATTTAGGGAGTTATCTACACAAACAGCTGTCAAATCATAATAGAAAGCACTTTTTTTAAATTTTGTTCTTTCATGTGTTTAGTTGATAGCTCTCTCATTGGTATCCATAAATATGGCAATATGTAAGGATCGCAAATTAGGGGGTTACCTATTAAACAGCTAAGAGATCAAATACTTTTTTTCCCCCTAAAACTCATGATATCATTATTGTAGTGTTTAATAACATGATTTTTCTGTAATCACAGTTTATATTACAGGTTCACCTAAAACATTACAATGAATAAAAGCTTGTTGAATAATGTAAGCTTGACATGATACCACACAACGTAACCACAAATTAGCACAGAAGGCAGTGTTTTATGAATTATGTTGTAGATATTTTATTAATAATTCAACTCTAAATAAACATTCAGACACTACTTAATAAAACACTTATTATTATATAGAGTAGCAAAATATGTAACATTCACTACATCAATAACAATTCAATGCTTATTTAGAAAATTGGGCAGACTAGATGGGCTGAATGGTTCTTATCTGCCGTCACATTCTATGTTTCTATGGTTGATATAGCTCCAGTGATAATAGGTAAAAAAAAGGGCAGCAATAATAGGATGACAGACTGCAAAAGATCAGAACCTTAAAGTGTTACTCCCAGTATCATAACAATTAATGGTTATAATGACAGGAGTACCCTGGCCTGGTTCCCAGCTTAGTAATGTTTTGCCTCTGTTGTCTGAGTCCCGCCGGGCTACGAGGCTCCCTGGTGGTCAGTGAAGTGCTTTTATCTGTCACAGCTCTGCAGCTGTGGTGGTTGACATTCATAGGCTGAGAGTGTCAGCTGACTGCTCTTACTCAATGACTATCATTCTGTACTACGAATGTTGCACAGAACAGACATTAGTCAGCATGGAATTCTAGTTCTGGGCTGGCTGATGACACCTCTATGATGCTGCCGGGAGCTGAGATACACCTCTGGGAGCAGAGTGGTTTCTCAAATCTAAACATGTGCAGTGTTTCAAAGCGATATGCAGCATTTACAGATTCCAGGCACCATGATCACTTCAAATCAGTGAAGTGGCCATGGTGCTTGGTGAACCCTTTAAACAAAATGTGCTGTATAATAAGCCTATTCCTATGCTTTAGGTGTCTAATGAACACTGTAAAATATTGTTTTATAAGTGATGAGTGTTCCTATAGCAGAAATTATCTCCTAAGAAAAAGCTTTCATTTTTAAATATATTTGTGGCATTATGGGTGAATAATCACATGTTCATATTAATCATAGGGTTAGTTTCGAGGTATTGCACACATATTATAAGCCTTTGGAGGGCTGGTAAACCCAAGTGCAGGGGTGATGTCAAGCTCTTCACCAGGTGGAGCCTTAAACGTGAAGTTCTGCAGAAGCCGTGTAAAGAACAGGAATAATTCCATTTTTGCTAAATTCTCTCCAACACAACTTCTTCGACCTAGAAATAAAAAAAGTGTCTGTGAATGTTCAAATACATTGTTACTTTATGTACCCCTAGATACAGTTTGTTTTTCAGCTGACGTAAAGGGACAGTATAGTCACCAGAAAAACTACAGCTTAATGTAGTTGTTCTGGTGAGTAGAATTATTGCCTTGATGCATTTTAATGGAAGCACTGTATTTTCAGAGGAAAAGCTGTGTTTACAGTGCTCCTAGGGACACCTCGAAGTGACCATTTATCAGATGATCACTGGAGGTGCTTCCTAGCTCAGTGCTGCACAGTAGGCAGCTCTGCCATTCAGCGTCTCCACGCTCTGCATATGGACGCTGAATTTTCCTCATAGAGATGCATTGATTCAATGCATCTCTATGAGGAGGTGCTGATTGGCCAAAATAGTGTTTGGCCCCGCCCCTTGCCAATTTTAGCCAATCAAATGCTTTCCCTATGGAAAAGCATTGGATTGGTTAAAAATTGGCAATTCTGATGATGTCACCAAGGGGGCACAGTGCTGGAAAAAAGATGAGTTTTTATTGCTTTTAATGGGCTAATGGGGGAAAGCCACCTAAAAGTTGGGTTTAGCACTATAGGGTCAGGAATACATGCTTGTGTTCCTGACCCTATAGTGTTCCTTTTATGTAAACTATGAAAATTCAAAATGCTGCATGAGATCTAAAATGCATAGTCACTAAGGAAAAAGTCTAAATATTGACTGTGTATTTGGCATGCATTATTGAACAGTCATATAATCATTATATAACAGTCATACAATGATATTAATGAACACAAGCTCTATATGTTTGGCTTCTATTTCTGAAGTAGTTCCCGCATGGTTGTCATATATATTTAGAAAGCACTCACCTGCAGAAAAAGGTATAAATGCTTCTCTTTTTACAAAGTTTCCTTCAGAGTCAAGGAAATGCTGAGGGTAAAACTCTTCTGGTTTCTCAAAGTGAGCCTTATCTTTCAGTACTGATGTTAGTAATGGTATAACGTGTGTACCCTTAAAAAAAATGACAAATTAAAATTATACAAAACATATATATGTAATTATTTACAACATAGTTTCCTTGTCTGTAATTGTCATATTTGGTCATTGATTTTTAAAAAGTTTTTCTGTTTTGTGCCATTTATGTATACTAAAATAAAAACATTATTTAAACATTACTTTCCAGGACACTAAAATTACTCAGATTCTGGAGGGGGTTGTTTTGCAAAGTGCTGGTTAGTGACGAGGTTAAGAATATCATACAATCTCAGGTGACTTGTACAGATTAAGTGAAATCTCTCCACTATTTCCACATCTCTCAAGGATTCCAACAAAACTCTCCTGGGTATGACTTTAGTGGTCCTCAGTGGTCTGTGTGGTTGACCAGCCTTGCCCTGCTGTTCCTGATGCTGTTGAGGCTCTATCATAAAATAGCTCATCTTCTGAATTAAATGGCAATACTGATTTCATTTTATTGGGAATTAATGATTTTAGTGAGTGACATGTGTTTCAGTTAGACTAGCTTGTACTTTTATTTTTTTGTGTGATTGTATGAATTAGTATCTTTTAAATCTTTGCATCAAAATTGACTAGTTGAATTTTAAATACTGAGCATGGTGGGGTGAGTCTGTACAGCAATACCTAGCCAGTCGCTAGTCTTTAATTACAGTGACTGTTTAGTAGATATGTCCTTTACTGTTTAGTAGACATGTCCTCACAGTTTCATAGACATGTTTTTACAGTTTGGTAGTTCCACTGAGCTAACTCACTATGTAACATGCCCTGCTTCTCAATTACCATGCATTGAGTGTTTAGTAGGCATGCCCACACTATTCAGTGGAGTGTTTATGGTTTTAAGGCATGAAAACTCATTTATCAACAGCTTTTTGCTCGCAAATTCAATAAGCCTATTTTAAGGGCTGAAAAATTAGTGATAGATCAAAAATTATCAAATTCAATATTGTTAAATGTCTTGATTCAATCTATGGCTTGAGCTTTTTCTTAAGACCTCTATCATACAAAAAGTAACAAATATTTTTTTAATCAGAATCTTAGCACTAAGCAAATATTGACATTACCAACTATTAGCTGTGTCAGAGAACCAGAAATCTTGTGCCATACATAATAGGATCACAGGCACCGGAAAGTGACATCACATATAATGGCTGAGAGGCAAGGAATTTGACTTTGTTACAATATTGCTGTTCCATGTTTAACATTCTTTTTTAAATAGGTACTAATAAATGGAATATAATATATATTTGATATATAATATAACCATTATTATATATATAAAAAAAAAAAAAAAAGATACCTGCCTTTGGTATAAAATATCCTTTGAATGTGATATCTTGAGTGGTCGCGTGTGGAAGATTTCCTGGCACAATATCACCAAATCTTTGGATTTCATGAACAACTGCATCTGTATATGGCATTTCTTTACGATGTTCTGTCTGGGGTTGAACTAATCCAATCACTTTCTCTATTTCATTTTGGACCTTTACTGTAACCAGTAAATGCAGAAAAAACACCTTTATAATTAATAAACATATAATCTGATAACCCCTTCTTTCCTTAAAATTGGATGGTGAAATTTCTTAGACTTGGTAATAATCTTCTAAAAGATTCTCCATGTGCCGATCTTGAATTTATTTTTATATAGGAAAATGAAAAAGTAGCAGCTCTTGGAATGAAGTTATTATTATTTTTATTATTTAAAAGGGCCAGAAAATGTCATAGTGCTGTCCATTAGGTGGACTAACAAAAAAGTAGTTGTAACAAGTTGCTAAGCTAAATGCATCTTTCTTACCCATTCATTTCTTTTATCATGATATATATTTAGTCATTAGTTGTTTGTTTGGTAATAAGTAAACATTCCCATTAATGTATAGATCTGATTACTTTAAAAGGAGCTGTCATATCGAGAACTATAACTTGTTTAAACACATGCAGCAAACACTATTGCGACATTTACTGAGTGCATAATGCTTCAGAGGTAAGTCAATAACTCGCCTTTGATGCACTTCATTGTTTCAGTGATTTGAGTTTTCCATGCCATGATGCCTTCTTGTATGCAATCATGAGCTGTGTGTACCTCAAGGTTTAACTAGTTTACACACAAGTCAAAGAATATAAATGAAAATAAATGTATATGAAAAGAATTTTGAAGAAAATAATAAAATAGCACAACCAATAGCTGAATTTAAGCGAACTATCAAGTGGTACTAAAATTGAGTTAGAGACAGTTACTCTTTAAATATATATGCTGTTTTCAACATCTTTAAAAACGCTGGATAAATTACTAAACTGAGATTTCAAAATCAATTTCCACTTTATGGTCAAAATAGCAAAACTATAAAAAAATCAGTCAGCTATGTTTTTAATTTAGCTACTCTGTCCTTAAATGTAAAAATCGACTTTAAATTCAGATGATAGCTTTGCATGATATTTTACTGACAAGACTAAGACCGATTAAGGAATGAATACTTTCCCCTTTACTCCTTTCTGTCTTTCAACTGCACTTGGACTTTGCTTTTCCTACTGTCCAGGCCTCCTCCCAGCTACTTAACAGGAGGTGGTCTGTGTTTCTTTCCTTTCTTACCACCACTTTGTCCCATCTCACCATATCAGATCTCTCTCCCCTTTTCTTATGCCATCCATAACGCATATTTTTAACTGCTCTCTTTTTTCCCCTTCAACCAACCATATCTTGATCAGTCTTCCCCTTCTAACTATGGTCCCATATCTTTTGCATCAACAGCAAAAACATATGTGAGGAAGGCTGAATTTGATGGACGCAAGTCTCTTTTCAGCTATGTAACTATGTAACTATGTAACTATCTCTGCTCAAAGCTTCTGGAACAACTTGTCTTTACCCGTCTGGCATGTTTTTTCAATTGCAACTCTCTCCTCAGCCCTCTTCTATCATAAGTTAGTTTAAATAGCGTGGTCTAATAGCTTCTTAATGCAAAGACCACTACTCTGTACACATTTTACTAGACCTCTTTGCTGCCTTTGACACTGTTGATCATGTCATTCTTCAAAGTCTTTAGTCCCTCGGTATCTGTGACACTGTCCTCTCATGGTTATCATCCTATCTCTCCCAACGTTCATCCTTTTCAAATAACATCTCTTCTCCTCTCATTCTGTCTCGGTTGGAGCACCCCAAGACTCTGTTCTTGGTCCCATTTAGTTTTTCCTTTATACTATCTGTCACAGGTTCATGAATCTATTGCTGTTATTCATTCAATCCTCCACTAGTTCTTATTGCAGATGTGCTGAATATAGTTAAAGTATTCCCTTTGTGTAGAGTTTCCCCAATTTAATGGACGCAACCAGTCATATTGGGCAAAAGCAGCAATCTGAACTTTATTAGGCCACAATCTGTGTTTTATGCAGTGCCCCTAGCATGGAGTTTCTAATACAAAATCACAGGGGCTTCCTTCCTACAAGCAATTATCTGTCAAATAGGAAAACTTACATACCAATTTACATATCACATAAATATATTGAGGCAAAAGTGACCTCGCCACTGTTTTTTGGAGGGGCCTCTTTGCCAGCCTCCTGCCCTGTGACTATGTCCCTTTGGTGAACTGTGGGTTAAAGATACTATTTGTGCCTATTGGGACTTGGAACAATGGTCTTCGAACTTTCGAATTGGCACTTCAAACAGTCGAAGTAGTCAAAGTAGTAGAAGTGGCTGCCATTCGACAATCAAACATGTGGCGGCGGCCATATTATTTGATCGAACGTGTTCAGTGGTGTTTTGTCATCGAGTTCATGGAACTCAAATCGGACATGCGATGGCCTCGAACACTGCTTAACAGTTACCTTCCAGGGAACTTCGGCTATTCGAACGTTAGTCGAACGGCGTTCGATGAGTGGAAGCCCACGAACAAGGGACACAAATTGACTATGTTCATTCACCATTACGTTTGGTAATTTGAACAATACTTCGATGGTTTGAAATAGACCAGCTGCACAGCCTAATTCTTTGTAACTGTTTTGGGCATGAAACCATGCATGCGGTCGGTCAAAAAGAAACTTCTAGGAATTTCCTAAACCCCTGCTCTGATATGGGTGATTTTTGGAT